CGGAATCCAAGAGAAACGAAACTAGCATTTTTTTTTTCTTCTTACTTCCCTTCAGCCTTGCTTTTTCCTTAGTCTGATTTCCCCCTGTAAGCTCTTTATCAACTCTTCACTGTAGCAAAAATTCATCATGTTGTACTCACACCTAGAATTCTCCCCACAGCCTTGCCTTCGTTCTTCTCTATTGCCGGAACTCTCCTTGTAGCCGGAATCAGTACTACTATAGGCTCTCCTCCACTGGAATCCCTTCAATCGATCTGCAGTCCCTCCTCCAAAGCCCCTCCACTTCTTCCCGGCATCAAAATTTTCAATGAAGGATCTCATATTTTCCATTTTTGCCTTCAGAATCTTCCTAGCAAGAGACCCTCACCCACTAAATTCTCCCTGTGTGCACCTACTTTATTGGAATTATCTTGTCATGTTGCACGCAGCATCAATGGAAGCAATCAGCAACAGCATGAATAGTCAAGTTTCCCTTTCCTGAAACAACCATTCTTCTACCCACAGAAGTAGCTATCAACTCCCTTCCTACAACTAACAGCAGCCCTAAGTACGCATAAGGTTTAAGACCAAGTATGGGAAGAAAATGCCAAGTTCTTCTCCGAAGGTTGATTATGAATCAGAGATTAGGAATTTTGTCTAGACAACTTTTGAGCTCCTAAAAAAACTCCTTCGAGGTAATTCATAACAACAAAGCAACCTCGTGACAAACTAAAGTGATATATATTTCTCTAATCTTACCAATAATGGAAGATTTAAAACTTGGATCAAAGATTCAGTAGCCACTAATCATATGACCGGAGACATCAAATGTCCTAGTCAACTATCAAAAAGCTTCTACATCTAGATCGATCAGAGGTGCAGATGTATCATACTAAAAATTGATGGAAAAAAAAGATGTGGAGCTCTCTCGAGATATTACTCTCTTCTCTATTTTATGTCCATAGTTGGACTACAATTTGATGTCAATTAATAAGCTTACTCATGCTATGGAATGAATAACTAAATTTCATGCAAACTCTTGAGAATTTCTGGAGGTTGAATCGAAGAAGGTGATTGACATGGTCGAAATGCATCAAGGCTTTTAACCGTATAAAAAGTTTTTATCTAAACACATAAATGATCTCAACTCCATTTTTACCTCAATTTTTTTTAATTTGTTTAATCTATGTCAGTCGAAAAATAGGTCATGTTATGTCATTTTCGCCTGAGTCATCTTAATTTCAATTATGTTACAAAACTAAATCCTAATTTATTTATTAATAAAAACACTAAAGGTAAGATTTGACAATTTATCAAACACACTAGAAATAGTTATCTCAAGTCCAAGTACAAACCCTCACACCCTTTTTCCATTCTCCACTGTAATATTTGGGGACTTTCAAAGGTAAAAATCCTATGTAGAGCTACATGGTTTGTTTCATTTATTGACGATCACACTAAAACTATTTGGGTATTCTTAATGTAGGAATGATCTGAAACAACCCAAATCTTCAAAACCTTCAATGGCTTGATTAAAATTCAATTTCAATGCAAATATCAGTTCCTCAAAACTGATAATACAAAGGAATATTTAGGTCATATATCTTTCAAAAGAAAAGAACCATCTATGTGAGTTAATATATTGATATCCTACAACAAAATAGGATAGCTGAGAGAAAGAGCAGACAACTCCTCGTGATATCCCCCCTCAATTATGATTTCTCATTAAGTTTCAAAAATTTTTTGGGGAAAACCATTCTTACAGCAACATACATTATCAATCAAATGTTTAGCGAGAACTTAACAAATGTCTTACTGCTTTCAGCTGGCCAGCCTTCTCGTCTCCCATCCCACCACCTTTCAAACCCTCACCGATCACCACCACCCCGAAGTCCGCTCTGTTTTGAGTGTTTGTGTTGTGCTATTGCTATTTCGGATTTACTGCTGTTGTGTTGTTGTATTTTCCCTTTCAAGTATGATAGTTGAAATCGTCAATTTGTTTTCAATAATAATATTTGATTTTCTTATTGTTGTTTAGGTTAACTCTAATATTAGTCATCCAAAAGAATCCCAGATCATATATCTTTCATAGACCTCCAAACAAAGAACATGCAAGAGAAAAACTTATATCACACCCACGGTTGCCAGGGAGGCCACCCAAATGGGATAAAATACCTACTGATAGAAAGAAAAAACCAACATAATAAACTATGCAATATTCCACATAAATATCATCGTAGAAAGATATGTTTCATGACAAACAAATACAAAAATGTCTTCATAAATTTTTGAAGTCTCGTAATATTTTTATAACTTTTATTATAGAAGGTAGCGGTGTCAGTGAGGTACTAGGCTCATAGAGGGAATATTAATACATGGAGAAAATAACTGAGAAATATGATTTTATAAGAATACGATGTCATCTTTCTTCTTTCTTTCACCCTTAGGAAGCAAAGATAATTGTTGTTTTGTATGACTGGATCCAACATGTTCGTTGACAATATGTATGGATCCTTCACTTGAGTCGGTTTTGTGCTTTGAATCTACATCTTCAAACACACCAAAATTCGGTCTTAGATTCGGGATCCATGCTTGATCATTGATGGCAACGACTCCAACAAACATTTGGTCTAGCTTCTCTTTTAAGTCTGGCTCAATGACATTAAATTTAATTTTTTTTTGTGTTTAGCGCGACCTATAAGTAATAAAAAATAATAATAAATATTGATTTATAGTATTTTTTAACATAACTATGTGGAATTGCCTAACTAAAAACATAGTTTCAACTCTAATCTTTTCTTACACCATACGATTCCAACCTAGACTTATAGCTCATTGCATGAATTCTTTCCATAAATTACCATCCTTTTTTAATTAATCACAATTATTCTTTAATTGAATCCAATTTTAGTCTCTTCCAGTTTTTTCTTTATAATTATCCATTATATTTTTTCATCCCTCTTGTTGAAAAATGTGTGGGCCTCTTTCCCAATTCAACTTGTTTTAAAAATGGATCACAAAATATCATTTTTGTATCTCTTTCTCACATCGCAGATTCTCCACTTTCTCTTGTTTTGTCCATTTAAACCTATAATTTTAACAAAAAAATAATAATTATAAGTGACAATGTATAACCAACGCTATTACCATACAAACAACAATGGAAAATCATGCCTCAACTGTAAAATAGGCACAAATACGTCCACCAAAATTCTATGAGCTTCCATATTAATATAAACACATTAGAATTGAAGCCCCCACGAGTAAGCAATACAATGCTATATCAAATGACAAAGACAGGAAAAGACAAAAGAGAGATCGAACCCCATAGCACAGCAACCATAGCGTAATAAAACACACATTAACTAGTATCCACCATAATGCACTACTCATCAAATGCATAACTCTCACATCCCCACATACCCATCAAAGAGATCAAACCCCCACAGAGAAGACAATCTTTCCTAAATGCAAAGTACAACATCAATTAGATAAGAAATGGCCACAAATAAAAATAAGCAGATATCTCCTAAATGCAAACCAATACAGAGAAAACAACAGCAAATTTTGGGGCAGAGAGCTCCAAGCCATCATAGTGGAAATGGTAGAGAGATCAAACCCCACAACACATAGCCAACATAATGCAACAAAACACATATGAATCAGTATCCGCCATAATTCACTACTCAACAAATGCATAGCTTTCACATCCCAACATTCATAACAAAGAGATCTAACCCCCACAGTGAAGAATTTCTCTCCCAAGGCAAACCAATGCAGAGACTGATAAGATATGCCCACAAAAAAGACAAACAACCACATATCTCCCACATGCAAAGCAACAATAAATTTTAAGGCAAAGAACTCCAAACCACCACAGTGGCAATGGCAGAGAGGGAAAGATAGAAGAGATCGAACCCCCATAGAACATAGCCACCATAAGTCATCATAATACGCACACACTAGCATTCAATATAATTCACTACTCACCAAGTGCATAGAATTCACTTCCCCACAATCCCAACAGAGATCAAAGCCACACAGACATGATAGAACCCCCGCAGAGAAGAACTTCTCTCCTAAATGTAAAACAACACAAAGACAGATAACACATGCCCACGGAAAATGAAACCACTACATATCTGAAATCCCACAAAATGTATGCGATATCAAAAAATGTCAAAAACCAAACAACAAAAATTAGGGCAGAGTTCGAAAATACCTCCATAGAGAACAAGTCAGAGAAGGGAAATGAGAAAAATGAAGATTGAAAATACTTTATACAGGATCCTCTGTTACATGGCACAGTGATGCTCGAGCTAGGATAGAGAATTAGCTCAAGAGGGCAGAACAGAACGAGGGCAAAAATGAGAATAATGAGGATAGAGATAGTAATAGCCTGGCGAAAAAAAGCGGAGCGCGCACAGTAACCCACAGCATGAAAAGGCCCTTACAACATGCAACATTATTTAAAACGTTGAATTAATGTGTTATTCGAATGGTGGAGTTGCGGTGTGCTGTCGCATGGTTGTTGCAATGTGCAAAATGAGTCGTTATTAAGAGTAATAAATTCACTAACAAAAATACATGATTGCAAACACAAATACAAATATGGTGATGTAAAGATTAATGTTAAGGGTATGAAACGTAGCAAGTTAAATTATAAATTGATGGGAAACTCATCTATTTGGCTTATGCCAAACTAAGCATTGCCTTTATTTTTAGCATGTTAAGTTAATCCATGCATGTAGCTAACAAAGAATACATAGATGTTATTACAAGGATGCTCACATATCTAAAGGGAATCTATGAAGGGAACTATACTTTAAGAAAAGAAAATTTAGAATTATAGAAGCCTATATTGATGTTGATCCGATAAAAACTATAGTTGATGGAACATCTAGATCATCGTAGCACACTTAAGTACGAGATAACCATATTGTATGGAGAAATCAAAAAATTAAAACATTGTGCTAGAAGCAGTGCAAACGCTGAACCCAAATCCTTAGCTAGTTGGAAGAACTAAAAGTAACAGTAAGATTCCAATGATAATATATTATGACAATAAAGTTTTTAACAATATACACGCACCACTATTGAACTAAACATGCGGAGGCAATTGGACAATTTATTTATTAAAGGAAAAAATTCAAAATGGATTTGTGCATTTTATATATTTTGTTCTCCAATCAGATGACTGACATCAACACCTGTGTTTGAAAAAATGATTGGCCAACATTACTTGTAAAATGTTTACGAACCCACATGAGGAGGAATGGTGAATGTTGTCAGGCCTTTCCAAACAAAAAAAGAACAGATGCAATTTATTGTCCACCTTATTTGGAGCCTCCTCTCAATTATTTTCAGCACATAAATGGCAAGTGAGCTGGACAATTTGCTGTTGGTAGCTATAGCAGTCCTCTTGAATGATGAAATTTCCTGCTGGCACAATCAGCAGCCGAAAGCGCTCTTAGATTGACATGTTTTCTTGTAGCTGTCCCTCTTCCAGCTCTCAATTTGCCCTTGAATGGACTGCTGCTGGGCTGGGGCAAAAAGGGGATGATTTCTAAAGATTATTGTAATTTTTTTAATAAAAATCAGCTGTAATATTCAGATCTCCTTTCATGCTGGGTGAATTGATTCATTCCCTATTTTCCATCTTTGTAACCCCTACTTGTAAGGCCACGTTTCGGTGTTGCCCTCTATTTATAAGGCCAAGTCACGGCCTTGTGCTGCAATAAAGCTTTCCAATTCTTGTCTCTCTTCTTCTCTTTCAAAATCTTTTTCTAATAAATGTGTATATAATCTCTTGAGCACATGCTAACTCAGTTTACAGAATCAGTACCTAGATCAGATCACCTCTCCAGTTCCCCTAGAGAAGCAAACAATCAAATTGACTGAAAAATATCAGAACTCAGCTATATTAGATAAAAATGAGTATAGTAGACTGATGTATTAGATCAAATTTATATCTATTCAAACAGAGCAGAACATACAAATAAAAGGGGCCAACTTTTCTTTTAAAAGACTAAGCTAAAAGCAGTATTTTCACCATGAAATAGCTCATACTGAGATACTACTATAAATCTCCAAATTCCCAGATTATGACTATCATGCATATTTATAAATGACAAGCTGTCTGTGTGCATAAATGCATTTACACTTCCACAATAAAATTAAATACTGGGGCATTCAATAACCTCTTTCGCCTCAAAATTACCCAGAGACCTTTACCAGTTAAACATCAAAGTGTTCTAAATCTGTTTGTTCCCATAAAGCATATTCCAAAATGTGGTAGGAGTTTTTCACAGCTTTGTGTGTGGTGTGCAGTAGTGCATTTGTCTAAGATATATTTGAGGAAACCACTACACAAATGCATTGTGTGGTGTGGACTGAAGCTTAGGTAGGGACTCCTCATGCTTTTCACATTCATATACTTATAGGTTAGCTTTAAAAGATTCTAAGAACACACCTATTTTGTCCTACACTGCAATTCAGATGACAAATTTTCAGTAGTTAGTTGATCTTAAAAAAAAAATATTACACTTGGCCTGCCAATCTACACCCCAAATCTGTTTGGTTCCCATAAAGCATTTTCCAAAATGTGGTAGGTGTTTTCCAAAGGTTTGTGTGTGGTGTGCGGTAGTGCATTTGTCCAAGATATTAGAAGGAAACACTACACAAAGGCATTGTGTGGTGTGGAGTGGAGCTTAGGAAGGGAATCCTCATGATTTATACATGTACTTATCAGGTTGGCTTTAAAAGATTCTGAGAAGAGACCGCTTTTGTCCTCCACTGCAATCCAGATGACAAATTTTCATTAGTATGTTGACCTTACAAAAACAAAATCCACTTTGCCTGCCAATCTACACCCCCTCATAGGCCCACATTTAATTTAGAAAAAAACAAAAAAAACAAAACCTCTCATACCTGAAGGCTCCCCATTCTCTTCAGGTCACATAGGGAGCTAGTTGAGGCAATTGACGACTCCAACTGCTCTGAATGAAAAGGAGATTCATCTGTACGCATCGTTCTTATAGTAGCAGTAGAATCTGTTTACAAATCTTCAGGTACATCAAGATTCATTTGCTTTTTTTTGGTTAGTGAATTAATTAAATAATATTTTTTTGTTAATATTAAAATTATTTTAGTTTAATATCATTAATTATGTTATTTTTACAGAAATTAAAACAAGATAATAAATGAAATAAATATTAAAGAAAGTCAAAATAGCGCCTAAACACTGCAACTATATTAAGCAGAAAATGGTTACGGAAACAGTGAATATGCCACCTGAGGGCCAAAAAACAAGCACCGCAATGCTATATATGGCACCTCAATGCCAACTCTATGACACCACGATACTGGAAAGCAACAGAAAATGTTTAGAAACTCGACAGCTCTACAACTTGGCACTAGTTTATGGTGATACAATACCAAAGAAAAGGAGATTTGAAGCATTAAGATCCTGAGCTAGGCATATTAACAAAACATATTGGAGGGTCACAGCGCTAAAAGGGGCCAAAATTCAGCCTAAAAGACAGAGCATAGTGCCTCCACGCCGAGCTTGATGATGTAGCACTACAAGCAACGCCTCGATGCTACTTGATATAGTGTTGCAACACGACAGTCCCGACCATTCAATTTAGAAAATTGCACTACTTTAAACTATTACAATCATATAGGTCACATAATCATCTCAATCGAATCAGCAAACCAAAACACATAAGTAGATAAAATGCGACCAGTAGTGGACTTAAAATGCAAAATTACGTGTGCATCTTGATGATCGTTCATTCACATTAATGGTCCACCTCGAAAGCTTTCACATCTTTCAAATTTTATGCGTTCAAGTGAATGAGAACCTTTAAAAAAAACAAATGGTCAAATCCACCATGAATCATGGTTTGTACAAGTGCCTTAAGAGAAGTGCACATTAATTTCTAAAAGAAGCCCATGCATGTCTTAAGCAATAGTGCACCTATAAATGCCAACCATGCTCGTAAATCAGTAAGAAGTTCAGTGACGCAGACGGATCATGAAGCTTTTTAATGAGGCGTATCTGACATGTCAATTTAACAAAAATAATTTTGTTCGCATGAGCTGCGACAAAAATCATTAACGCATTAACTAACATTTAAAACTGCTATGTGAACAAAAATAAAGTGAACTTCAATTATCTTACTCTAAGAAGTGTATATCATTTTGAAGATTCAAAGTTTGTTCAAAATTTAAAACTTAAACTTGATAGAAGCATAAGCTCTTAGTAGGCCGCAGTTTCGATCATTGATTATTGAAATTGCCAAGGTTTGTGTTTAAGAAATGATGCATATAGTCATATTCTTAGTCTAGTACAACTAAATCAACCTTAAGAACTGAGAAATTTACTCTTCAACAAATCTCACAAAAATTTTGTCAATCGTTTATACATGGCCTTCAATGCCTCTGCAAAATAAATTTATTTCAAAATCAAAATTATTAGGAGCGTTACATGCGTAAAATGTCACAGCACAGCACGGAAGCTTGGAATACAAAAACGAAAACTAACGGTCAAATGGTAGTAATATGTCAGCCTAATAATCACGACAATCCACAATAACAACTATCCAAATAAAAAGAACCACTAAACTATAAACGTATCTAACATATCATCCAAACCAACATAAAGACATCTAGAGTGTATCAGTACTAATGAAAGAAAACCAAACATAAAACAACTATGTCTAAAATCTATTTTCATTAGAACCTCTTCTGTGATTAACATTCCCTTCCAAAATGTCATTCTATTAAAATGTTTCCTAAAAGATATAGTTAGACAATACATTAAGCTTACATCAATTTAATGAATAATTGCAGTTTTACTATGCACTATATTTTTATGCAAATTCTTATACGTGAATGCTTAAAAAAGACATGACGATTAATATATAAAATAAGCTTTAAATTTTTCATTTTCATAAGAACATTTATTTAAAATTAAATGTGGTTGAGCTGAGAATGCTCGTGTGGATGAGTGACTTTACACTTAGGTACAAATATGAAACGAATATATTCGTGAAAGGGTTGGAGTAGCTCTAGGGATAGACAACATTAGAGAGAGTCGTTTAAAATGATTTGGTCATGGTAAACGCCGACCGTCTGATAACTTTTTTGGGAGAGTAGATGCTTTAGATTTGACTTCAAGTTAAGAAAGATAGAGATAGACCTAAATGGGCATGCAGTATAAAAAATGACGTTAATTATTTAGAATTAAATGAAAATATGACATTCAATAATGACAAAATGGAGAAAAAGGATTCATGTAACCGATCCCACTTAGCAAGATAAAGGCTTATTGTGTTGTTTTCGTTGTAAGAATATTTATGAAAACATTTTAATATAGTTACATTTTTCATTTACATTTTGTTAAAAGTCATCATAAAAAGTTTATACTAATTAAGGCACAATCATTTACATTTTTATTTATATTTTCATTTCTATTTTTTATTTTTCGTGTATTGGTACAATAGAGTCCCCAACTAGTACTATAAGGCAGTGACTTATGATCGACTTGAATATTTATTTTTTATTTAAAGATAATTAATTGGCATTTCATTCATTGAATCTATTTTATTAAATTTTTTATACAATGTAAAAGGTGAAACACTTTAAAATAATAAATGTCCATTTAAATTTGTCTATATCGTTATAATTTTATTCATTGAAATTACACTTCTTAATAAATGAAAAAAATTTAATGCATATAAAATGGTAGTTATTCACGTTGATTTCTCCTTCAAAAAATGATCTCTTAAAATTTATAAATTTCTCTTCTACAATCTCAATTATTTCTTTACTCAGTTAACCTAATCATATAATTAAAAGCATTACTCCTAAATAGTAACATTTGATTTCTTATTTTTTCATTTTAATTTATAAATATTATAACTAACATATACAACAATTTTTCTCTTTCTTCATTTGTTCAATCAACGACCATTCTAATTATTAACCTAATTATTTTCATTTAACCAAAACTCAATATTATTTCTTCAAATTTAAACTCGGTATAAATTCAAATATTTGTATAAAAAAAATTGTTAATATAATTTTATCTCAAATATTCTTCATCTTTATGGCCATTTAACAATCATGATTCTTTCAAATCATTTTAATTTATAAATTCTTCAAAATTTGATTTCTAAAATTAATAATTGAAACTAACACTAATATTAAATAATAGTAATTTAAACTAAGTTAGCAAAATCATATATTAATAAATTAAACAGGTAAATTATAAATATTAAATTCTAAGAATAATAAGAATTTTAAACCCTACCTCCACTGGCTCGGTCAATCAGCTCAACCCGCACGCAACTCCATCTCCCAAATGCTCGAGTGTGACGCCAAGTTTCATACGCTCGAGGGAGCCGAAGAGAGGAAGGGGAAGTGAACAGGCAGGAACACGTATTTTGTCGACGCGAATGACGTGAGGCGGAGATAGGATTGAGTGCGGGAGAAGAAGAAGAAGACGAGTTCTATTCCAATTGGAACATCGAGACGGATCTCGCTTGAGAAAGAGGAGCTCTGCTCGACCGAGCCCACAAGAGAAGGAGATAAGGGACGGATCTCGCTCGAGAAAGAGGAGCTCTGCTCGACCGAGCCCACAAGAGGAAGAGAAACAACAGAGCGAAGCAATCTTTTAGGCTTCGTTCGACATGGTTGTAAAGTATGGTTGTAAATTAACCGTACATGAGAGCTATTATATGTGTTTGAAACTGGCTCTTATTCATAATTCCGTGAAATTACTCTTTATGTTCATTCGATTTTATTTAAAATTAATTTAAATTGTTTGAAATATTTAAATTATTTATATTATTTATATTATTTGCAATGTTCGATTTATTGTATACCGTTCGAATTCGTGTTGAAATACATTTAAAAAAATAAATAATAATAAATTTAAATGTTAATTCCTAACTTATCAAAAAGATAAATAAATAACATCCATCTATAAAAAAATGTGTTTTTTCAACTATATTATTATAAATTATTAATAACAAGTTACAAGTGAAATATATATTTGAAGTTCAAAACTCAAATTCTTAAAAAACTATAAATTATTATTAGAAAACAATTAAGTAATAAATCAATAATTTGAAAATACATTACAAATGAAAAAATACATTGAACGTTTTATTTATATCTTCCAAGTTCCAAGTTCCAATATCCAATCTTCATTCCTCCAAATTTCATTTTATCATAGTTTTAATATACCTGTAAATTAAAAAAATAACAAAAGAAAAAACAAATTATCCATAACAAAAAAAAAAAATGAAAAATAAAGTGCTATGCATGTTATTTGACGAATAGAAATCTTTTAACTACAAGACAGCAGTCATTAGCGAACAACCAAGTGATCCAATAGCAAATAGCCAATAACTAACTACCAAAACAAGACGATAACAAAAAAGGACTCAAAATGGGAAACAAAAAACCAGAAATTGAAAATGAAATTAAGCTCAGAATATGCTATATGAAAGTACATTAAAATCCTTTTCAAATATTATAAATATTTTTCATCAAATATTTATAAGTATCGTTGAATTTTCACAAAAACATTGGAAAACATCATTACTAAAAAAATCCCCTTCACCATAAAGGAAAGATCTAGAAGTACCTGAACAAATCAGCCAATCTGATATAATAAAGAAATTCAAAAACTACGAATAGTAGCAATAAAAGCTAAAACAAAAAACCAGCATAGACTCTAATTTAAATCTCTATTTTATACATGAATGCAAATATTTTAAAGGTGTGTAATCCATATATTATTCATTAGAAGCAACAATTAATTCACAATTAATAGCTTAAAAAAATAGATAAAAGTACACTATAGCTATTAGCCAATAACCAACAACGAAGTGATCCAACAGCCAAATGACCAATACGACAATACCAATAGACCTTATTAGCTAACAACTACCAACCAACACCCAAAGGCCCAGAACCGCCAAAACTGCCAAAATATTTATAAGTATGATTAACTTTTAATGAAAATATTAGAAAACATTATTGTTCAACCAAAATATCGCACGAAAAGGGTAAGATCAAGAAGTACATAAACAAATCAACAAAAAAACAATTCTGATATAATAATAAAATCCAAAACTATAGATTTTACGTATAAAAATTGAAACAAAAAGCTAGCCAAATCTCCAATTTTGAATCCTATTTTATAAATAAATGCAAAAATTTTAAATTTATGTAATCCATATATTATTCTTCAGAAAAAATGATTAATTCATAGCTAATAGCTTGCAACCAAAAATTGAAAAAGTTGCATAATAGCCAAGAACCAAGTAATCCAACAGTCAATAGCCAAAAGCCAACAACCAACAAATACAACCATCAGTCCATTTAAAAATTCCCAAGGTCAACCTTGTGAATAAGTCTGTGTATAATTGAGGCTTTCAATGGACTATACAGTATCAATTTGAGCACTAAAATGTTTTAAGGAATTATAAGAGAAATATTTGAGTGTTTCCCCAACAAGAATGTTATCACTAGAGATCAGTATCTCTTTGATGAAACTAAGTTCAGTTGGATGGATAATGAGTGGTGGTAGGTTTCAAGCAGTTAGCCACCAACTTAAAAATTAATTTACGGATGATTTACATACCACTCAATTCTTAGGAATGTACATGTCTAACACATAAACTTCAATTTTTACATACTCATGAGTGGGTGTATATATCTTTTTAAAAGTTAAAATGGTGGGGGTTTTTATGGACATTTTTTATTTGATATGAAGATTTGGGTAGTATAAATGTAAGAAAGAAAAATTTAGGTGTTAGATGTATAAATACTTAAGAATTAGTTGTTATGTATGCAAATGCATTATAAAGAGAAATTCGCTTGTACTTAGAGAAAATTGTTGTGTGCCAAGTTCCATTAATGAGCTAAGAATAAGAGCATTTTGGTCATTTGAATACAAACAACATCAAAAGCTTAGCCAAAATCATAAATTACTTATCTAATTTATAGACAAACCTCTAACAGAATTTCAAAATATCAAAAATTGCTTTAGCTATAACTTCTAATAGCAACCTCTCTTGCAAATATTTTATAATTGTCTAAATAACTAGATGACTGATCCGACCCACAATTATGCAGTAATTTAACTTCCAAAAGGTGACCAAAAAAACTTGACCTGAATTTATATTTAGCAGCTAAGGTGCAAAATTGAAATGTTATAAAATTTAGAAAATAGATTATACAGTAGGGGTATTGTGCAAGTGTATGTATCGTTCCAAGTAATATATGGTTTTTTTAAAGAAACTAGTATTGTTCCTACAAAGAAGCGAGGTAAGAAATCCCTTAGACGAAATTCTAGTCTACTACTATCAAGTCTTAATTTGGAAGGTCGATTAAGATTGTGTTTTATCTAGGAACTAATTCTAAATGCAAATATTAAATGTATAAATAACAATTATTCCTAAATGCAAATATTAATTCTAAAGATAAATTATCTAGATAAATTGGTTTGAAGAATTTCGAGATGTAAAAACTGCTATCAAGTGCAATGACATAGAAAATGTGAAGGAATGAAATGCATAGAATTTAATGTAGTTTTGATAATTAGGAGCATACCTACTCTTTACTTCTTCCGATGAGTAAAGAACATTGACTAATCTAACGATAGTGTCAGCATGTATAGTAGTGTTGTGTAGGTTCTAGTCTCTCACTCCTAGAGTACCCACTGTGCTCTCTCTATAGGACCTGCCAGTGACCATTAGCTCTAAATTCTAGACCAAATTGATAAAAGAATCTAGTCTGTCACCCTAGAAACATCAATTCTACACTCATCAAATCTTATCTCCCTATCTATTTGCACCCCCCCTCGGATGATCGCCACTACTCTTTTCAAAGTGAAATGTGGCTCTACTTATTTAATAATTACACCGCCCTACCGGGTCTTAATGTAATTACAATGGATTTTAACATTAGAACAGACCAAAATTGTAATTTAAATAAAGTTCTAGCAAATATCATTAATAATAAAAACAATTCTAACATGCATTCTAAAACATGTATCCAAATCATAGCAAAGGAAAAGTAAATGAAAATAATGGCTTAAGCAGTAGGCATAAGAAGCAGTAAAAGGATTTTATAGAATTTTGTGCCAATAAGGAACATATGTCTACCTACCACTCATCCAAGTGTATAGATACGATTAGTACGCTATCAGTTTTGAGCAATTATCTATCACTTAGAAACTCCTAATAGAAACATATCTTTAATTTATATTTTCTTAATAGGTTCTTTGCCGCTCAAACTACTTCTAATAGCCAACCAAAAAATGTGAGTGCACTCAAGTTGTAAGATCACCGCTCTCCCAACTCTTAGTTTCAATTACAACAAATTTTAACATGACCTATTTCCACTTAAGTTATGTTAATGAAGTAAATGAGATATTACTCATCACAAGAGATAAAAATTGTTCTATAAGAAAATGATATAAGAAAATGAATTTTCCAACACATGCCACTACTTTAAATTAAAAAAAAAAAGTGTAATGAAAATTACTCATGAAGCAGGGAGAAAAAAAAAGCTTCATTAAATCAAAACAAATCCACTAAAAAGTGTTTACAACAATTACAAGATAATGAAGAATACAATACTTAATTTTTTTCCTCTAAAAGAAAGATGAAAATCTCTCCAATAAAGTCTCTTATCAATCCATGCTCCGCTCATACAATTTTCTTGCACATTTCTATCAAAATCTCTCACCAATCTCTCAAGACATGATGAAATCCACATCTCCATCAACTCACACCAAACTCTCTCTAAAATCCACATCTCCTTTTAAAACTTATCATTAGAGGCATTGGCCCCCTTATTTAAAGAGACACAAAAACCCCTCATTTTTCCAAGAGAAATCTCTTCATCCAAAAGACACACCCTTTCACTCCAAGAGACACATCTCTTCATCCAAGAGCCTTTCCAAGTGTCTAGATTTATTTAACAACTCCATGGGGCGTGCAAGCCATCGAGAAGCTTATAGAACATCCCAGAACCACTAAAAACTATCCAAAACCGCCCCTGGATGGTTTCTGGAGCCTAGGAACCATTTTTGGTGCTTAGGCGCCGATTTTGGGCACCTAGGTGTCACCCTGCAAGTAGTCCCACCATTTTGTGCCATTTCGCTCTGTTTTAATTTTGTTTCGCTCTGTTTTAGCTCTGTTGCGCTCCAAATTGATATTCCTACAAGATATAAATGAAAATAATATTTTATTAAAGTAAAATTTCATTCAAAAATATGTGATAAATGTAAATGAGATTAAACATAGAAAGACATATCAAAATATGTCAGATCAGAATTTTCTTCCTTGCTCAATTTGACTCCAAATGACACCGTTTTTGCTCCATTTTTGCTAAAAGTTTATTTCTTGTACCTGAAGATAAAAATATGAAAAATACATTACTTTAAAGTGTAATATCATTAAAAAAGTATATAAAATGATCATGAAATCTACACTAAAAAAAGGTAATTTTC